CATATGGTTGGTGTCTCAGTACTTCAGTTTAATAATGTTTTGTTATGGTAAATGTACATTTTGAAGTTTCATATGGTTGGTGTCTCAGTACTTCAGTTGATAATGTTTTGTTATGGTAAATGTACATATTGAAGTTTCATATGGTTGATGTCTCAGTACTTCAGTTGATAATGTTTTGTTATGGTAAATGTACATGTTGAAGTTTCATATGGTTGGTGTCTCAGTACTTCAGTTGATAATGTTTTGTTATGTTGAAGTTTCATATGGTTGGTGTCTCAGTACTTCAGTTGATAATGTTTTGTTATGGTAAATGTACATGTTGAAGTTTCATATGGTTGGTGTCTCAGTAATTCAGTTGATAATATTTTGTTATGTTGAAGTTTCATATGGTTGGTGTCTCAGTGCTGCAGTTGATAATGTTTTGTTATGGTAAATGTACATGTTGAAGTTTCATATGGTTGGTGTCTCAGTGCTGCAGTTGATAATGTTTTGTTATGGTAAATGTACATGTTGAAGTTTCATATGGTTGGTGTCTCAGTACTTCAGTTGATAATGTTTTGTTACATTACAGAGACCAAGTCATAGAAAAATATTTAGAATTCTAGAAAACTACATTTTCCTGCATTTCTAGACTATTAAACTGGTGACAATGGATTTGTATTTGTCCTGAAATCATGAAGAATGAGACAAGAGTTTATAAGTGATGCAAAATTTTAAAACATCTTGTAAATTTAGTACTATTCTTCATGATCATCTAGAACTAATTAATGATGAACTCTCTATCAACAGGAATGGGAAGAGATTGAAATTCAAGAAGAAACTGAAGGAGGGCAGACAGTTAAGTCTACGATACAGATACCCTTGCAGGTAACACTAAGAGTTGTTGGGGCAGACAGTTATGTCTACAATACAGATACACTTGCAGGTAACACTAAGTGTTGTTGGGGCAGACAGTTACGTCTACGATACAGATACCCTTGCAGGTAACACTAAGTGTTGTTGGGGCAGACAGTTACGTCTACGATACAGATACCCTTGCAGGTAACACTAAGCATTGTTGGGGCAGACGGTGCTTCTTGGTCTTCATTTTGGAATAGCAAGATAAATCACCTTGTTAATACTCACACAATACAATTGTGATTACAGTTATTATTAATCTTTGAAAAACTTAGTTTGAATCTTGAAGAATGTTAATCATCTTACAGAACAACCTAAACTGTAAGGTTGAAAGTTTAATGTACTTTCTCTTGACGAGCTAAATTTTTTGGTCTAAATTATGAACAAAAGAACAACAGCTTTCCAAAGAAATTCGGTAATAATATGACTAGATATTCTTTTCAAATTAAAAATATTACAGTGTAAATGAAGAAGAACATTTATTTCTTGTTAAACTTGGAATGGTTTCTGAGTGTTTAGTCACATTTAGTAGAACAGTTCTAGTATGAAAAATTTTTCAGTGCTGAAATAGTTATAGACTTGATTCATGGATGTTTTCATACATTTCAGGTTTCAGTGCCACTGCAGTCTACGGTGTTTCAGTTATGTCAGGCTATCAACAGGGCTGCAGGCCATTCTTTAAACAGGTAAATAGACTTGATAGAGTTTCTCAAAGAGGGAAAGTTTTAGTTTTGTATTTCAAGTGCCTAAATTCAAACCTGTGAGGAAACGTGTTATTATACTCGTATAATAAAGAAAAATTATATAACTATTTTATAAATCTAAAACCTGAAATCGTCCAGTTGTACTAGAAATATGATGTATTATTATTGAGAACTAAGTTGTACTGTTTTGAAAGGTTTTTGTAACCTTTATAGATAGATACTACTCAGGAGAGAAAGTACTTTAAATTTCAGAATTCTTGACTTGTTTATAGAATACAGAAGCATGTGTGTGTGTTATATGTATGTAGGTATATAAAATCACGCACACATACATTTCTTGTTGGTAACAAGATTGTCACTAATCTCCAGCTTTTGTTGATGCATTATTTTGTTAAGACCAAAGCCTCACATTTATTAAACGTAAACAGGCTGTAGGCATTGAAACACATACATTCTTAAAGTAGAGATTTAAGTAAGTTTGTGTATAATCCGATTGGTGCCATATTACTTACAACTCTGCCAAATGGTATAAGTATGTTAAAACACATTTATAAAAAACAAAGTACAAATACCACTGCAAAGTGACGTTGAAACATATTAAATTTTATTTCATCTTAAGAATACAGTAGCACCAATGTAAGTATTCCCTCTGTACGTTTGAACAACAGACAGTAGTGAAAGTAGGAGATGACAGGTGGCAGCATATCTTCAGTGGCATGCATCACATACAGTTCAATGTGATGTTTGCTCAAGTGTTAACATTCTTGTAAAAGTCCTATTAATCAATGAGTGACTTAATAAATCCTAATGTCAAACTCGTACTTTTAACTGCACTTGAAGTGAGAAGCAAGTATGATTTCAAGGTCACCTGTATTTATCATTAACCATTGTGATAAGGATAAGCAAGTATGATTTCAAGGTCACCTGTATTTATCATTACCATTGTGATAAGTATAAGCAAGTATGGTTCCAAGGTCATTTGTCTCTACTGCTACCACTGTGTTTACCCTTTCGAGACAGGTCACGGGTGAAATGCCATGCCATCTCGTTTGTTGACTCTCATTCAAAATTGTATTGAACTACTATTTCACGAACTTATGTCAATAAATTTGGTATCAAACTGTAGATTATAATTCAAATTTTAGTATTATATATATA